AGGGCCGCATTCTATTATGCTTTCTAGCTCCTTCAGCCCGAAAGCCATCACTTTCGGAGCGCAAGCTCGCGCGTGCATTTTGGCGACCTCAGAGTATCTACCTTGGAGCATTGCAGGTCATCGCAATGACATCTTCGGACGTCATCGCTCTTCCGGATGATACCGAGATATATACTCTGAGGGGCCCGCGGCGCGGGGTCGTATCTTCGAGGCAGCGATCTAGTGATAGCGCTCTTGTATTCTCCGAGCATACTGTCCACTCTACCATTTGAGTTACGTGAGTTTAGATTATTTTTATCCCCCCATTACATAGTGGAGACGTCGGGAAAGGAGCACTTGTCATCCGGAAAATCCCAGGTTAGTAAGCGTGAAGTATTTAATTTTAAGTAGAAAATTTACAGAGTTAGTAGTAATTTTTCGAGCTTCACCAAGTCAAGATTCACGAAAACTATAAGTAATTTTTATTTATTTGATTGTACGAAAACAGTTAGTAATTTTCAAGCTTCGCAAAGTTGAAAACAGAAAGCGTTAAGTATTTAATTTTACAACTAAGAAAATCTACAGAGTTAGTAGGAATTTTTCGAGCTTCACCAAGTCAAAATTCACGAAAACCAGATGTAATTTTCATTTAATTAATAGTACGAAAACAGTTAGTAATTTTCAAGCTTCACTAAGTTGAAAATAGAAAGCGTTACGTAATTTTCGAAAAATTGATTTTTTTTTTTTTTTCATTCTCAAATTAAGAACTGCTTACGAAACTCTAGGTAATTTTTCACTGCAATCGTTCATCCAAATCTAAAATTTTCATTTGCTTTAAAGTGAAAAATTAGCCGAAAGTTTAAAGTAAGTTTCGTTGGGAGCATTAAATTTACAGTGAAATTCGATTCACGGATTTTCCTTCGAATTTTCTGGGGCAGCAGAAAAACTATTTTTTTTTTAATTCTGTTTCAAACTTGTGAGCAAGAACAAATCTTTACGAAGTTTAACTTGTGCATCCTTCAAAGTTCTGAAAGTTGATTTCTTCATACTGACATTTTTTTAAAAGAAAGTTTAGTTTAAGCGTAACGTTTCCTTGTGCCTATCGCAAATTTGGCGACTTTGTCTCAGATTTATCCTCCCGTGCTGATTCTCGTACGCAGCTGTGATCAAACTTTTCAAGTCACGACGCTGATTGCGCTGAGAATCTGGACGCGCGACGAAATCTGGGATTTCTTTAAGCCTTTTTGCTGATTCTTCTTTCATTGCTTCTATCAGTGTTTGCTAAATTAGTGCTAAATTAGTGCCGAGTACGCGGACTTATCTTATTTTTTTTTGCTTAAGTCAAAAGTTTCTTTGCTCGTCGGGAAATTGTGCGTCGTTCCATAAACATCGCGTCGAGTAAATAAACAGTAAAAGCTGCCTTGTCTACATTGAATTGCGACTTGTGTGAGAGTTACGGGAAGCAACTCAATGAAGAGAATAGCATAATACAAAAACATATTTTTCAAAATCGCGTTTTCAGAGACTCGTCTATGTTTCCAATCGCGTTTGTTGCACCGAGAGCGGTTTCGAAAACGCTGATGCGAGTAAACACCATGCAAAGCCGACCGAATCCATATTCTCTCATGCCGGTTTGGTTGAAAACGAGTACGAGGCGGTTGGGTTTATATGGCAGACCGAACTTGTGCAGGCAGTCCCAGGACCAAGAAACATACTATGAGAAGGCATGGAGACCAGAGGAAACAGCCGGAAAATGACCCAAGACTGGAACCAAACATTTCAACCTGGTTTATGGGAGCAAAATTCCGCGCAGATGAATCCTCGAGGATACAGGGTCTTCCAAGTGGACGGACAAACGCCCTGGCAGCAAGAGATGCTCAGAGTATTGCAGTCACTGAACCAAACCATGTTGGGAGCCAACTCGTCTCGTTCGGCGGAAGGGCCCTCAGTAACGATTAAGGCACCTCCATTCAAAAAAGTATTCAACGGCGAGGCCGACTGTGAGATCAGAGACTTTTTGAAAGACTTCGAGACATACTACCGCAACTGTTCGGACAAAGAAAAGAGGGAACAGCTCAGATGCCACCTTGGCAAGAGGGCGGTACTGTATTATGATAACGAAGAAGTGTCGTTCATGAATTGTCGATCGTTTGATGAAGTGAAGCAGAGACTGATTGAATACTTCGATGCGGACGACGATGCTTTATCCAAATTCACGGAGCGCTCGCAAGGAATGAACGAGGACCCATTGGACTTCGTGCAGACAAAACGGAAGCTGGCGAATCTAGCAAGAGTGACTCAAAACACGACTGAGGCGCAGCTGGTTAAGCACATTAAGTTGAAACTAGCTGCTCCGGGCGCCCTACGGGCGCCCTCCACAGCTAGCAATGGTGGTGCAGTAGCTTATTTGGAATCAAAGCGATTAGTTGAATCTATTTAATAATGATGATGATTCTGCGGCAGAAGATCAAGGAATTTAACTGCCTCTCTGCGTTACAGGGTGGAGACTGCCATTCTACCGAAAAATGTTATAAAAAGCTCGCATTATTAGTTTTTCTTTTTTTTGTGTTATTTTTTAATTTTTTTTTTATTTTTATTTTTTGATAATTTTCTAATGACTATGAGGCTTTTGGGATTTATAAAAGATCGAAGCACCTCTTTGTGCACGATATTTTTTGTACGGTTGCCTTTGGGAAGAATTTAGACTTTAAAATTTTTGTGCGATGTAGCTCGTGAGAGTGCAACATATAGTTGACCACGGCCAAAAACTGTTTGGGGTAAATAAATGCCGACTCGCTTCAGTGTTTGACCCTTAGCTTTGATGATGGTCATGCAGAACGCAACGCGAATTGGAAATTGTCGCCTCTTAAAATAGAAAGGGAGAGAGGAGTCTGCAGGTGACAAATCAATTTTTGGCAGTGACATTCTTTCACTGGCCTTCTCGACGGAAATTACCTGCAAATCAAGACAATTTTCATAACGTTTCCAGACGATCAATTGGGTAACATTCGATAAACCTTTAGAAACGTTGAGGTTTCTTAAAAGCATGACAAAAAACCCCTCCAAAAGTGTGAGTTTAAGCGGTGGTAAGCCACTAAGATTAAGACTGTCCAAGAATTCGAGGGGAAAATTGAGAGCCTCTCTCTCTGCCTGTTAACATTGAAGTACGTTTTAGAGACACCTGAAAGAACTTCAACAACCTTGTCGTTAATTTCATTGCAATACTTATTTTTAGGGGCCAGAATTGCGCAGTTTGTGAAATCTACGTTCGAACATGAGGAAGCTACCTTTTCCATAAATTTCAGTAATAATATCAGTTTCAGTAATACTGCTTGTCGGTAAATCAATGAATTCCGGCATGGCCTTTTTTAGCAGAAAGGTAAACACCATCACCTATTTCGAGTTAAAATTTTGCAAACTCCGCTTCGTCTTGCAAAGTTCTCATATTTTGAGTAAGTTTTCTGATTTTGAAAAGAGGTCAAAGTGGTGAGAATTTGATTGCATTTTGCACCAATGTTTGGCGAGAAGCATGCGGAACAACGGGTAAAACCTGTCTAAAATCACCACCCTAGACGACAATTTTTCCTCGAAAAGGGATATCATTACCCATTCTCTAGGAAGTCGGTCGATGCATGCCAGAGCATGCGTGATAACCATGGGAGCTTCACCCCAAAAAATGATCGTTGTTTTCCGAATAGTCTCAGCCTCTCTTGAGCTAACCGTCAGACTTGACACAGAATTCTCATTCAGAACCGAAGGAATTTTGAATTTGCTATGAACCGGCCGATCGTTAGGTAGCAACGATGCGGCGATACCTGTCCAAGCAACGGAGATGACGTCTAAGTTTTCCTCTGTACAATACGCAGTAAGACATTCTTAAACGAAAGTTTTTCCCGATCCTCCTGGACCATCAATGAAAATCGCATTACACGTGTAAGATGGATTTTGGATGAGACTAATTATTTCAGAAATAATTTGATGTTGCTCTGGGTTAGCGGCAGAAATCATGGAATCATAGTTTTAGGGGGAGGAGAGTCAGGCTCCGACCCTTGAAGATTCAGGTTAGTTGGAAGCAATTCCGGAAGATCAAATGATGATATTGAAAATCCATGAAGTCTTAATGTGCTTTCAATAGCAAAAAGCCGATCAACGTAGTCGACCGACCAACAAAATAAAGAGAGAGGAAGAGACAAAGTATCAAGCAAATTTGAAACAAAGTTGGAAAGAGAAAAGAACAAATAAGAATGAAATGTCCATAACAATACATGTTGTAAGCAATACGTGTGCGCACCGCTGCAGTTAATAAGTCAGGGTCAGTCAAACCGCCAGGATGCCTATCAAGAAGTGGTGAAGCGGAGTAGCCGAGAGATTGCGACGGAATGTGGGTGGTGACTTGGTGAGTGACGAACGACAATGCGACCCAAACCTTCTTTGAGGTTGGTGGGAGGAAAGCTATACGAAAGAATACGGAGATAGCCGAAAGAACGTGGTGGGAGGGGTGGCTGAGAACCTAGTGGGGGTATCTAGGGACGGGCAAGCAGGTAGCGGCCAGATGACCGCTCGAAACAGCTGAACTTTACTCGTCGATAAAAGTAAGAAAATTTGAGAAAATCGAAAAAACAATTACAGCCTGCAAATCTACAGATCAGAAGCTTTCATTTAAAAAAAACCCCATGCATATCGGTCCGGTGGTTCTCTCAAAGTTAATGTCCCAAAATGCGGACTTTAGTCTGAATAAATGGGAGAAAATTTGAACCCAGCTAAACTTCACTCGTCGATTAAAGTAAGACAATTTGAGAAAATCGAAAAAACGATCACAGCCTGCAAATCTACAGATCACAGGCTTTCATTTAAAACAAAGATCATGCAAATCGGTCCGGTGGTTCTCTCAAAGTTAACGTCCAAAGATTCGGACCTCCGTTTTAATTCATTGGAGAAAATTTGAGAAAATTATAGGAGAAAATTTGAAAAAATCGGAAAACAAATTACTGCCTGCAAATCTACAGCTCAGGGGCTTTCATTTAAAAGATCAGGCGAATCGGCCCGGTGGTACTCTCAAAGTTAATGCCCCAAGATTCGGAACTTTGCATTTTAATATATAGGATTGACACCAGAATACCAAAAACAGGTAATGAACAGCCGAGATATAACAATCAAGCAATTAATAGAATCATTAAAAAATGCCAAACTTGTTCTCTCCCCCCCCAGAAGAATCCGTGGACTCGGTTCTAGCAATAAATAGATCTCCAGAACAAAACTCATCGTTAGATTCCAGGATGAAATCCCAAGAAAACGCCATGGCAACATTAGCGGCAACAGTCGACTTGACCCGCGCAGAAATGGATACCATGAGAGCCAACATAACCAGGGGTTTGGAAAAGCTGTTCAACGAGGCGTCGAGGCAAAGCACATACGGAGTGCCGCCGAACCAAGGGCAGTATCAGCCTTTTCAGCCTTATCAGCCTTATCAAGGGCAGTTACAGTCAAATCAGAGACAATATCAGCCAAGTCAGGGACAGTATCAGCCAATCCGAGGACAGTTTCAGTCAAATCAGGGACAATATCAGCAACAAAGGGCAGGGATGCCCTCCAAGAAAAGAAAATGGACCCGAAACCAAGAAGTTGACGCCCTGCGTGTCTCAGCAAACTCCAGGAATCAGCAAAGTAGATGGAACGGGAACGTGAATCAGGCCGTTTCAAAGGCGCATTCTGCAAATCCTCATCAAAGCCAGTACAAGAATTTCCACCAACAAAACAATGCTGGGGGAACAGTGAAAACAACAGTGAGGGAAAATGAACAGGTTAAGATATTGTCAATCAGTTCTAAAGAGGCTTTGGATCCTTCAAACAGTACAATAAAATCTCGTAATACTTTTGATACTAAAAATCCTAGAAGCAAATTTCCTGTAAAAAATGAGTGTCATATGTCTTTTGCTGAAAGCGATGTTGGTGCGCGTGGAGTAACAGTGGTCCACGACCCGAAGCGTGCGATTTCTGAAGAAACCGAAAATTCTTTTAAGAATGATTGCAAGAAAGCAAGTAGATACAAGATAGAGAGTAATTTTAGTAATAAGGAAGTGATTTTGGACAAATCGGGTTATGATTTTTCAGATTCAAATAATGTGGATCATGAACCTATTTACATAAGAAGTGTTATTTTTGCACAAGATAATAACGTTGAGCGAGAGGTTCATTCCTTGCCTGATTTTAATGATACGAATTTTGGGTCTAATGCATCTTTGAGCAGTGTTTCAGATAGTTCTGAGAAAATTGGCTTAAACAAAGGAAGTGTCGAGCCCGTTAGGGAGCGTGGAGATCCCGACACGTTCAAGATTTGCAAATCTGAAGAGAGCCCAGCCGCATGTGAAACTCAGGATGGAGATTTTCACAACATACAAATATTCCCTACGGAATTCGTAAGTTCTATTGAAGAAAATGGTAAATATGATCATTTTGATCAGCAAGAAACTAGAATAGAGGCATCAAAACTCGAACACTAGGTCAAAATTTTCACGGTAACAAGCGATGAACTTGAACTTACGCGTGGTTTACGCGTTTCAGGTAAACAAGGTGAGCGCAGCGATTTTCAAAACATTGACGCCGCCAGTCGCGAAGTTTACAAATTCAAGAAAAGGAGTGAGGAAAAGCGAGGCTGCACTACTACGAATTACACGGATGATGCCAAATCGGAGTTCAATAAGAAAGTCGGTTCGAAAATTAATGATCATTTTAATGGATCCAAGCTGGATCATGATTTTTCTTGGAGGAGATTGCCTCCCAAGAATTGGAGATTTAGGAGGAAATTCGATCCTAAGGGATAGTATCAATCCAGAATTTTTGGTATCAAAACGTGTGACTTTCTTATCCTAATGACGATGTTTTATTTTTTTACAGAATACGATAATATATTCTTTGATTTTCAGATTTTTTTTTGTTGGTTTAAATTTTACTTTTCTTAACGGACTTTTCCGAAGGTCGGTGAATCAAGAATTATACATAAAAAAAAATGGGACATTCATTACTGGAAAGTCCATCTAAAAAGAAGAAGAGGTTGCAAAAGTCAACTTTTAAGAAAATATCTTCAACATTTTTTGATCGACTTATGTTTGGAGAAAAGATGAATATTTTTTTTTTTCCTCCTGGAAAATTTTATTATTTTTAGCTCCGTCTCTTTTCTTCCTATCTTTCACGGTCCTCTTCGGTTTATTTAGAATGCATGCACGTACTTGTGTTTCATTATTTACTTATTTTTATTACTCTTGACTTTTTCATGCTTTTTGTACATGCTTAATATGTTTGTCGTGTATGTGTTGCATGTACCGGTACATATATGTTGCATTGCCCGATTTCTGTAATTGCGCGATCAAGATGGAAAAAAGGCCAAGCTTCTTGATCAACTACTTTTACATCGAAATTTAGATTTTCAAGTCCCATTTTATCAAAGCATAGGATTGTGGTAGAAAGGCTATTGCCCCCGTATAAATGTAATTCCCAAGGATGTTTTTCTTTTTCTCTCAAGAAAAGAACAGAATGCCGTTGTGTGCGCTGCAATTTAGGTAACAGGAGAGTGAGTTCAAAATAATTTTTAAACTCTGATATTGAATATTTTCACGTGCTTCAGAATTGTTTTCTAAGAATTTTGAGAAGTATGCATTTCTAACTTTGTAGTCTCACAATAAATTTTTACCTATTTCTAGGAGTCCTGCTGCACTCTTTCTTTACTGTTTTATTTTCTTCATGATTTTCTTCTTAAAGATTTTCTATTTCCATTATATTAAATCAAAAGAATCAGCAAAGTAACGTTGATTATTTGTCATTGTGAATTACGACCGGGAACTAGACCAGAACTACCTAACGTCATTACTAATTTTATAAAATTGATACTTTCGCTTAAAAAAAGGTAAGGATTTTTCCTCTTCCTTGCGGAAATGTCAGGGGTACCTAAGCATAAACGGATTTTTAAACGCGCAGCACGTTATGTGCAGCGTTGTCACATTTTGTTAATCCTGATTATACAGGGTTATGCAAAAGTCACTGACCACCCCTGTAACTTTTTTCCAAATTGAGATAGAAGTTCGAAACTTTGGGAATGTTCCTCGGTCTAAAGTAGCAACTTTTTGGTCCCCCCTTAAGGGGGACGGGGGCTAACTTTTTTTTTCAAATGGCAACCCCCCCTTTGTGATACCTCATTCGAAAGATAATAAAAAAAGAAAATTTTTGGCGCAAACCGCAGGTCAAAATGTTCATTTTTGACAAAATGGCGGCCGGTCAAAGTTCAAAATTGCGGAAATTTGGCATCTCCGTTGTTTATTGACGGATTGGTAAAAAACTCGGAATTCTAGGGTTTTTTGAGATGAAAAAAACGATTCTGGCATTGGTTTTCCAGAAAAGTCAGTCTTTTGCAAAATGGCGGCGGTCAAAATGGCGGCCTAGAGCGGGAAGTGGATATTTAGGCTGCTTATCTTTGGATTTGTGTGAGACTTGGTTTCCGGTGGTATTTCGGCATGGGAAGAACGAGTCTTTCATTGGATATCTGAAATTTTGACAAATTCAAAAATGGCGGCGGAAAAATGGCGGGAAATCAGTTTTACGTCTCTTTACCGATGGATTAGCATGAAATTATTTGATATTTCAAGAATCTAATGAAAGATTCCTTTTAATCCAGCCAAAAACCGCCAGGATATCGAATTGCATGCAAATCCATCGGTAAACAGCCGTAAAACTGATTTCCCGCCATTTTTCCGTCGCCATTTTGGAATTTGTCAAAATTTCAGATATCCAATGAAAGATTCGTTCTTCTCGTGCCGAAATACCCCCGGATACCAAGTTTCATGCAAATCCAACGATATGCAGCCTAAATATCCACTTCCCGCTCTAGGCCGCCATTTTGCAAAAGACTGACTTTTCTGGAAAACCAATGCCAGAATCGTTTTTCTCATCTCAAAAAACCCTAGAATTCCGAGTTTTTTACCAATCCGTCAATAAACAACGGAGATGCCAAATTTCCGCAATTTTGAACTTTGAGCGGCCGCCATTTTGTCAAAAATGAACATTTTGACCTGCGGTTTGCGCCAAAAATTTTCTTTTTTATTATCTTTCGAATGAGGTATCACAAAGGGGGCGTTGCCATTTGAAAAAAAAAAGTTAGCCCCCGCCCCCCTTAAGGGAGGCCGCTCCCCAAAATTTTGGGGGGACCAAAAAGTCGCTACTTTAGACCGAGGAACATTCCCAAAGTTTCAAACTTCTATCTCAATTTGGAAAAAAGTTACAGGGGTGGTCAGTGACTTTTGGATAACCCTGTATGACTTTTTCATTTGTTTAATACGTATTTAATTTTATCTGCAATTTTTACTTTTCAAACTTGCTTCCTTTCCGTAAGTCTTTCCTTATTTGTATCAATTGCGATACTTAAGTGAGCAAGATGGTTATTGTTCCCTTCAAACAACCGTCAATTTATTAGGAATGATCGTGTTAAGTTGAAAATATTCACAAATTTATTGTAACAACTAAGAAACCCAGAACAGTTTTCGATTTTTTAACTGGGGAAAAAAAATTCGTGGTGAAGACGGCGCTACTGCCCCCGTATATGAGTAGAAAGTAATTTCTACGAATTATTTATTTTTATTTTAAGAAAAAAACCATCAGGCGCAAGTCAGTTTTCGATATAGAATTGGAAAGTAATTTCTTGTTATTTTTACCTATATTACCATTATGTGCAGTAAATTATCGATTACATATTGAATGATAACATAATAAATGATTATTGCATGAATGATATTCTAGATTTGTATTCATAAAAATTTAAAATTTTTATACTTTCTACTGAAAATAGGAAATTTTAACCTAGTAATCTAATCATGTGTTTTTTTGTGGGCAACGTTTCAGAAGTCCTGTTCGCAAGGGGAGTTTCCTAATGCCGTCTTGGAATTCGCATCACTGACGAGAAACGCATTTCCAGTCCATGTCGCTTGAATAGTACACGTCGCAGATGACACCCAACCGAAGTGATACTAACTTCACTGCCCATGGCAGGCCGCAGGCCGGCTCATTCCAGTTGGTGCCTGTGGGATTTTGGTCATCCCGGTTCTTCGCTCGGAGCATCTCCCTGGGCTCACAGGCTCATCAGGAAGATATATAAGCTGTCCACGGTGCGTTTTAAACAATTTTAATGCGGTCAACATACCACCCGCGATTGTTTTGCGGAAATGTCAACTAGAAGGCCTACTGATTGAGGAACTACAAACCGCGAAATCTGTGATGGGGCCGTTTTTGAGAAAATGCGATTTTTCGCTTTTTTGGCGGGAATTTCGGGTCAAGACGCTGAAAAAGTCAAGTAGGCTGTTTTTGTAGTTCGTAAATGCATATCCTATACATTTTGAGTCAATCAAGTGCCAGTAGATAGCTATTCGTGCATATTGCCCAAAATTCATATCCTTAAATCCACGACTTTTGGGTTTTTGGGGGGTTAGTCAAGGAGAAATCCGAAAAAAAGAGGGTTAACCCGGAACAAATTGCTTAACAAACTTTTCCTACGTAAACTTCTTCAGTAGGTCCTATTGAACAACATACCAAAAGTTTACCACGGTTCGCTCCCGGAACACCCCCCCAAATTGCCTAAATTTCAAAATGGCGGCCATAATAAGGCCTCTGGGAGTTCGATTTTTTTAAAAATACGCATACAGTGTCATGTGAGGTGTCAATTCCTATGTAATTTTGGTCGTAGATTTCAAATATGAAGTAAAAAAAGTCCCTTGATCAAAAGGGGGTACCCCAAATCCAAGATGGCAGCCAATTTTGAAAGTCAAGAGGGTGGATTTTTAAAAAGTTCGCGTGATAAGGCAAGTGAGGTATCATTTCTTATGTAATTTTGGTCGTAGATTTCATTTATGAAGTCATAAAAGCCCTCAAGTCAAAGGGATTGCTCCAAATGCAAAGATGGCGGCCAGCTTTGAAAGGCAGGAGGGTGAATTTTTGAAATGTTTACGTGACATCCCTAGTAAAATAGAATCAACCTGACGTTTCATAAACTACCCTGAGTCAGACTAATTCAGGCTGATATCAATCTGACTCAGGGTAGTTTATGAAACATACCCTGACGTCAGGTTGATTCTATTTTACTAGGGATGTCACGTAAACATTTCAAAAATTCACCCTCCTGCCTTTCAAAGCTGGCCGCCATCTTTGCATTTGGAGCAATCCCTTTGACTTGAGGGCTTTTATGACTTCATAAATGAAATCTACGACCAAAATTACATAAGAAATGATACCTCACTTGCCTTATCACGCGAACTTTTTAAAAATCCACCCTCTTGACTTTCAAAATTGGCTGCCATCTTGGATTTGGGGTACCCCCTTTTGATCAAGGGACTTTTTTTACTTCATATTTGAAATCTACGACCAAAATTACATAGGAATTGACACCTCACATGACACTGTATGCGTATTTTTAAAAAAATCGAACTCCCAGAGGCCTTATTATGGCCGCCATTTTGAAATTTAGGCAATTTGGGGGGGTGTTCCGGGAGCGAACCGTGGTAAACTTTTGGTATGTTGTTCAATAGGACCTACTGAAGAAGTTTACGTAGGAAAAGTTTGTTAAGCAATTTGTTCCGGGTTAACCCTCTTTTTTTCGGATTTCTCCTTGACTAACCCCCCAAAAACCCAAAAGTCGTGGATTTAAGGATATGAATTTTGGGCAATATGCACGAATAGCTATCTACTGGCACTTGATTGACTCAAAATGTATAGGATATGCATTTACGAACTACAAAAACAGCCTAACTTGACTTTTTCAGCGCCTTGACCCGAAATTCCCGCCAAAAAAGCGAAAAATCGCATTTTCTCAAAAACGGCCCCATCACAGATTTCGCGGTTTGTTGTTCCTCAATCAGTAGGCCTTCTAGTTGACATTTCCGCAAAAAAATCGCGGGTGGTATGTTGACCGCATTAAAATTGTTTAAAACGCACCGTGCGTAGGGTTTAGTCGACTTCAGCTCGAGTTATCGCCTCCGAAGCTGCGGAACGCTAAAAAGGAAGACCCCACTTTTTTTCTTGACCGCGCCGATCTCAAAAAAAAGCCATTTTTTTATTTTGATGAAAAACTGAGATGTTGTTCCTGACTCTCTGTAGGCCCTCTAGCTTTTTACTGCATGCTGGGGAAATGTTTTGGTCGCGAGTTATAAAAGTGGAAAGGAGCGAAGGTCGTGAAAATTGGCTACCTATTTTAAACTGCGTTGAACGTATTTTAACATAACGTATTTTAACAACATATCAGTTTTTCATCAAAATAAAAAAAGGCTTTTTTTCAACTAACAATTTAAACAGTTTTGTGTCAAGCGAGGTATCACGTTATAAGTCACCAAAAAAATTTCACGAACCCCGCAGAAAAATGGCATCACCTAACGAATGGTGAAAGAGCTTGTGAAATGTTCATCTGGGTAGAATTATATGCGGCATTTTAGGGGTAAAGCTGTTTCAACGGAAACACACCAAATCATAAGTACCCCAACAAAAGCCTTAGAATAAGATAAAACTTCAAATGAGTAATGGCACTTTAAAAACCAAGGATGGAATTCCTATGAGTTTTTAGCTCTCCTATAAGAATCTGAGATGATATAAGGAGGAGAAAATCCTGGAAAGCCATTAAAGCGTGGGAAGTGTAAAGTGATGCTAATTGTGTTTTTCGATTTTCGAGGTGACATTTATCAACATTTTGTACCACCAAACACAACAGTTGACGGTGCATCATTGCAAAGTGCTAAAGGAGTTGAGAATGCACATATCTCCCGGAAACGGCCGGACTTGAAAGTTTCGTGGATACTCCATCAAGACAAATGCGTGGCCTCACACATCGAACTTAACACGTGAACTTAAAAGTAAACATGGAGTTGAAACAATCTCTCATCCCCCTTATAGCCCTGACTTGGCTGGCCATGGAGCTAAGCTTCACAAACAACCACAATTTAATGAACAAATTTAGCAAGAAAATAGAAACAACAGAAAAAGATGACTCTGCAAAACCCAAAAAGATTTCATATGAAATCAACTGTAACACTCGCCACAAGTGTTACGTGGGCCAAACGAAAAGATCATTGAAAATCAGGGGCCAAGAGCATGTGAGGAATATGAAAAACAGAGAAATCACACGCTCGGCGGTGGCACACCATTTTTGTTGAGTGGATAAGTTCGGGTTTTGACAAAGGAGGTTATCGAAAGTTGAGAAAACTAAATATTTATTAAAAGACTGGGCGCTACAAACAAGAGCTACATTGCGACTGGCGCGACGGACGAAGTCCGTGCATAAAGAGAAGAGAAAAATCTTAGTCAGCAGAAAATGAGCATTACCTACATCGGCTGCGCCGCACTCCAACAATTTTTGGTCCACAGTCCATAATATTAATTTTGAACCCATGCTCCTCAAGGAAGTAAAAGAGCAAAAATTGTTAGATATAGGGGGGGGGGATATTTTCATTTACAAAAAGCGGAACAACAATTTCAATTTTGACGAGTCGGGCGCCACAAATGTGTTGTTCAAATTTATCGACAAACATGACAACCAGGCAAATTGGCGGAACGAGCGTCGATGTAAACAAATACCTTCAGTCGCGGCTGATGATGGGAGCGAAGGTCCCGAAACGCGTCCCGTTATTTTAAAAACAATTTTTTACGCAAGTGAGTGTGTTTTTACCAAAAATTGTCTTTGTGTTTTTATGTTTGATTACCTACTCTTCCTTATCTATAGTACACCAAAGTTTTGCAAAAATTCATCATCCCCCCCCCCCCCCCTCAGCCCACCTTATTCAGATATATCATTTCTCCAATTTTGAATATTCATCGAGGATTTTTCGACGTCACAGGAAAAATCCGTCATGGCTCCAGTTGGTGGTAAGAAGCCTTGTTGCAATTATCCAGATAGTTACCTACAGAAGGCAATTAAGGCTGTGCAGGGAGGAAAGATGTCTTCGAACAAAGCTACGGAGCAATTTTCAGTTTTGCCATTAGCACTATTTTTTATTTTTTCTAACTTTGTATTTTTTCACTGCTCAAAAAGTGACACGAGAGACTGCTTATTTTAGGTAATTAAGTGTTTGGTCTTTGACCAATTCTCATTTGATTTTTGATGGAGGTAATCGTATTTTTCCACTTTTTCTATGTTTAAGCTACATTTTTTACATATTTTCTCGAAATATTCTTTCGTAAATGTTAATTTTTGTATTACATTTTTTTAAAACTTAAAATAGTGTATTCCAAGTTAAGTTTCGTGATTCTAAATTGAAATTTCAGTGTAAAACAGTAGGTGTTCCAAGTTAGGGATCCTTGGCACCTAATTTGGAACACAAGGTTCCCAAAAAATTTTGAAAAGTATATCATCAGGCTCTCTAGAGCCACACCGGAGATTTGGAACAGTTTTCAAGTCTTAAAGGTTACGGCGTGTTGAAGTACAACATTTGGAAAGTTCAAAAGTGTTCCAAGTTAGGTAACTTGACTGTACCACAAAAGCACGCAGAAAGATAGCACGTACTGCTTTCTTGCCAAATACTAACCTAACATGAAACTGAATTTTACCTTTTTCATGTACTTTAAAATAAAATCGGTCTAGTTTTAATCCCCCAAATGACTTCTAAGAGTCCATCGAATGATTGGTTGCGATTTGACAAAGAACGGAGGCTTCTTTCAATAAAATGTTCCACTCAGAAGCTTCTAGGCCCATTTTCTCAAAACTTCATTTTTGCACTTACTGCTCTCTTCGCTATCACGGCAGAGTGGCGTATGGCGGGGCAAAGCAGAAGCGATAAATTAGGCGCCATTCCCTTATTATTCAGATTTGTTTTCGACCAATACCGAAATGTTTAATTATGAATCTCCCGATAAACCCATTAATATTCATTATTCTTCTTCCTCTCAAAGTTGGACCTGTTCCCTCTTTGCCACGTGGCTCCACACATTTGAGTCATGACCGAGCGCCACTAGGGGCCAGATCTCCCCAAAATCAACTACAAATCAATAACCGGTCAGTAAAGCAACATGAATGAATTAGCGGGAAAATAGGGGACTCCCACTTAGTTGATGCATGGTTCAAAAGCATCTATGTACCTACCGCACGAAAATATGATATACTAGCACTCAACTCGCGCTTTGCGCGGGACCAATATTTGTGAATTCCT